TATGCTACACCCAGTGAGCAAACGGCACGACCCTGAGCCCGATAAGTCGATCGGAAGCATTGCTCATATTGGAGCTGCAGAGACCTTCATCGGACTCTATATGGGTGCCTATAAGTATCGTTGCGATGGCGATCGCCGTGCAGAGCTTGCGCAAGGTCTTCGGCAGCGTTTGCGGATGATTGTCTTCAAACCTAGATACAGACAAACTGTCTGAAGTCCGTACCCGCGACTCCGAGACCTCCAAGCACAAAAAACTTCAGCCACTCGCCCGGATCGCAGTGATGCGCTGTGTTCATGCGATACCAACTTGAGATGCGACTGAAGCATTCCCGGTTCGATTTCACGACCCGTGAAATCTCATCACAACTTCCGCGCGGCCCGTAAAGGGCTTGGCCTGCGTATGGGCGGGCAGTTTGTCGGACGGAGGCCGATCAAGAAGCAACGTTAAACAACCCACCGACCAAGCATGCGTAACAGCACAAGCCAAGTCCGCAATTCTGGCAACTTCTCGTTGACCTGTCTCCGAGATTATCCCTTCTGCAACTGCGACAACAGAACTTGGCAGAGCCTAAACCCCCAGACCGAAGTCCCCAAAGAGCCCGAAAGCTCCAATATGCTCCAATTCCCACCATGCCTCACTCGAAGCACCGGCACTGGCCTCGGGTGGGCAAGGGGACATGGGACTAATTAATATTATAGTGTTTCGTTGCAGAACATGTGCACTTGTTTCTGTTGAAGTTTTCATGTGTTGCCCCTTTGGCACACCAGGGTTTCGGCTTCAAATCCGCGACATCTTCAACAAACAACCCAAGCTTCGGCTGTATGCAATTTGTTGGACTGCTGTTGGCGCTACAGATCAAGATCAGCTTCATGCTGCCCAATCGCAGTCTGCAGTGCCTGCTACTGTTACGTGCAGCATGGCTGGGGATCGGACACCGGCACCCATGGTCAGGTCAGGGCACCTGAACACGAAGCCCCACCTCTTCGCCGTCTTCCCTCGCCCCTAAAGCTGAGCTAGATGGAACCTTCTACCGATCCTGCTGCACAGAACTTCTGGGCCCCTCAGTCCGAGACCAGACCCTCATTCTGCATCCCTGCAGCGAAACACGGCCTTCCCACAAGCGCAAACGAGTACAAACACCAGAAGCACTGAACGCGGAACCATTAAACGTAGAGGTCTCAGCCTCTACTGATCCACGAAATCCAAACTGTAAAGAACATGCTCTTCGAGCTTCTCGCACACAAACAGACAAGCAAGCAAGCAAACTAACCAAACAAACAAACACAAACACACACTAACACCATCCACCCCGGAGCGACAGATGGAGTCTTAGAGTCACCTGCATCACAAGGAACAAAACTGCTTTCAAAACCTGAGACCCGAAGGCTACAACCTGCAGAGGCCACCACACGGCTTTAAGCTCGGGCTTCCAGGCGCCTTTAGGCACTTCGCATCTCCTTCGCCGATGGGCTCTTGAGGCCCGGCTTGGCCGGGCAGCGGAGAGGCCGTGAAAGACGAGGAGCATCGGATCACACTGCGGAGGGCTGCAACAGAAAGCTTGAGTTGGCCCCCGGGCTGTGCTATTTTACCCTGGGACGATGCCGGACTCGACTCAAATCATTATAGCACCACATGGAACCGAAGGGTCAGTGGGGGATGTGGACATGCGGCAGGCAGTGCATGATGTGTGTGGATATGCCCGTAGCTTGACTGGTCTCGGCTGCGTGCACGGTCCCTTCTAGGTTCTCGGACGACGGACACAGCTCAGTGCTCCGGCCTCACTCGGAAGCCAGCCTCCCTGACCTTTCACTGCTGGGGCCGCATCCGAGGTGTCTCTGAAGCTCTGACGGAGAAGAGTGGAAACGGACAGTTTCTTGGCTCCAGCAAAAGGAACCAAAAATGAAGCTGCAATTGGAGTAGTAAAGAAGGCAGCTATGCTATGCCATGCTATGCCGAATTTGAATCCTGGCCTCGCGCGCTTGCTTTTTTGCTGTGAGGCTTTGACGCACGGCTGAGGCCCCTCGGCCATCAGCGAGGCGTTCTCAAAGGCCTCGAACCGGGGCGTCACAGTCACAAGCCAGGACTATCTCTGCGCAGGTTTCTGGAAACTGCAGGCTTAGGCAGGGGCCTATCGTTCCCGAGCGCCGGACCCCAGCGCAACGCCCGCTTGAGCCCGCGGTGGCGCAGCCATGCGCCGCCTCGAGGCGAAAAGCGGAGGCTTCACAACATCCAGCTGTGGCTGCAAAGTTCTGGCAGCGAACTCGGGTGTGGCATCGTGTGCAGAGCCATCTGCTTGTGAGACAATGTTGGCTTGGAAACTTCAGGCAGACTGAACGACTTAACGAAATCGGGAGGGTAGTTTCTCTTTTGTTACAATGCCTAGTGAGACAAGCTTGGACACCTCTCATTGCTCGTTGTTGCAGCCAGGGTGCAGCAGTGTAGGTCACATCAGCCGGGTTTTCTCTCAAGTTTGCTGTTGAATTGACCCACGGCGAGGCAGGAGTGTAACCCTAAACCCTTGTTGCTGTTACCAGTTGCTTGTTATGGTTTTAATCTTATCTCGACCCACGGTCGCCAGAATCTTCAGAGCTTCTTCCAGCCGCTGTCCAAGCTCGCCGAGCCTTTTATGAACGCTTTTTGCTTTCTGACTGGAGCTGGCGGTGAGATTGCCTCCGAGGATACCACACTTCCGCAGGAGCAACTAGCCGACGATGAAGAGTCAAAGACTTCTCACACTTGCATCCAGAAGGGGAAGGGCTTCCGGAACGAACACCTTCTACCTCCTTCCTCTCCTGGAGGCTGAACCTCAATCAAAGCCATGGCACCTGAACTTGAAGCCGAAACCTTGAGCCGGCCAAACCTTAAACCCCAAACCGCGAAAGCCGGATTGGTCTCCCTGGGCAGGCTTCGAGCTTCGGATTTGGGGGGTTGACGGGCTGTGAGATGCTTTGCGATTCGGATCTGGCGTGGCGAAAGGTATTTCGGCAAAGCTCAGTGGAGACGCCGAACCTCCCGCAAGAAAGGCACCCAAACAATGATGATTGCAATGCCAACAAGCTGAATAACAATCATCGTCACTAACACCAAGCACTACAAAAAGTCATACTCATTATAAGGAGTTTTCGAATCCAATCATCACAGAAGCTGCCCTCAGGCCGCAACTTCGCCCCAGCGGCCGAGGGAGACTTCATGGCCCCTAGGCAGACATGCAAAAATCCAGTTCAGGGTTTGGGGTTTAGGATTTGGAGTTTAGGGTCTAGGGTGGGGGTTTAGGGTTGAGGGTACGGGGACGGGGGTAAGGGACCCCACTTACCAAACCCCTTTTGAGTCCTGCTTAGGGTGATTCTAGGCCCTCTATAACCTCCGGGTTCCAGGTTCAGGCTCGAGGCTTTGGGGGGCCCTACTGACGTTGAAGGTTTTACGGCTTATCACCTTCTTCTCCGAAGTTGATGGCTCTCTCTGCTAGAACTATACGGAGCTTGGAATGTCAAACACTCAGGGGCCAGTGTTAGTTTGCCTTCGAAACTGCCAAATGAGGTTCACTATGGGTTTATGTCTGCATCTCGCACTCACAACTCGGATTACGCGCGTGCGAATCTTGAATCTATCCGACATCTGACCCCCAACTTGATAAAGCCTTTGATAGCCCATGTTCTGAAGTCCAGCTCAGAAGCGGACCGCCAATCGTTCTCTGCACCGCGAGCGCCCCGTTGCTCTGGCGACTTTTTGAGCAGAATGGGGCAGCGGTCGGAAATCGTTAAGCCGATTGTCGATGTCAGGGTGGTCTCCCTGAAATGTATGCTTCGACGAGCGCGCCCAGCTTGGTACGTCTGCAACACGAAGCAGCAGCGAGTTGGGATACCTCTTAGTCTTGATACCACTTGCATCCTCTTTTGCGACCCAAGCATGGCTAAATGCATGGAAATCCAGCCGAGGCCACGGACTCGCAGTGTCAAGCAGGTGAACGGCCTGGTGCAGGGGTTGGTCGGTGGTTATGCGGCTGAATAAGTTAGAATCGATCAAAGGGACGATGGTAAGCACAGGTAGCTTGTCACAGAACAAGCTTCAGTTACGGTCGAAACGTTTCCGGTCCGACCCTCCTGGCGGCGGGGAGGGGGTTTGGCCGGCGGAAGTCAATGGACAATCTGCATGGCAGTGTTAGGGACGCCGAAGCAGTCCAGGATGTAGCCAGAACAAGCAGCACCGTCAAGAGCCAGCCGAGAAGCACAGGAAACAGTGCCGATTCCGCAATTTCACGAGTCTGGTGATTGTCACTTCGACCAACGGCCGATTACCCCTTGTCAACCGC